TATTCTCTTAATATTTCTGCTATAAGGAAGTTGATTTTTCTTTCTCTAAATAATAAGGTATGCTTTGCTATTAATTGAAACTGATATTTTTCAGTATTTTGACTATAGAACATTTGAATTGTAGTGATATATAAAAGTCCATGTTTGATTGCATTTCAAGTTTTAAGAGGACCCCAGTCATATCAAGGGAAATTGCATATCAAATGAAAGTATATTTCATGTTTTAAAAGGATCCCAGTCATATCTCCCAAAGAATTGCAGCAAATGGAGAGAGAAGTGGTAGTTCTTTATAAATAGGTTAGCTAGTTTTCTTGACACTGTCACTGGCCAAAATATTTTGGGAGCTATGATTGTGCACCCTTGTGTGAAACCTTCCAAGCCCATGTGGGTAAGCTTGTCTATTGTATAGGTTGTGTATAGATTTATCTTGCAACAGCATAGTAATCAGAATATTGTTGTGGAGTTTACAAAAACAAAAGTAAACCTAGAAAATTTTCTAGCAGTTAATGATTAATAAGTATTCTAAAACTAATTAGGACATTGATTGATTTTGTGGAATTTGCTTGCAAAAGTATCCTTAGCCTGTAAATCTGATTCTGATGGTATTGAATCAGCTGTGAAACTGCAATGGCTGCTAAAGGAGCATCTTCCTAACTTTGAGAGCATCACAATATTCAGTATGCACATTGGGATAAAACAAATTCAGATTGTAGCATTTTAAATTGTACTGGTTTCAACAAGAGATTGAAACACATGCTTAAACTTCTGCCATGAAAATAAATGAGACTTTAAAAAGTTTCAATCTGGGCATTTTGTTTCAGTTGAACATATTTTAACAAGCATTTCACTTTAATATTAAAACTCAATGAGACAAGTGTTTAAATAATTTATAGTCCAACAATGAGCAACCATTGGCACTATGTGAGTGTTAGTCCTGTTTCAAAAGCCTTGCTGGAAATCAGATTGGTCTTCTGGCAAAAGAGATGCATTCCTGCCTAGCAGGCTGCAGGATGGGGGAGGGGATCAGGCAGGTAAGGAGAAGAGAAAGGGTGGTGGAGAGAGAGAAGAGGATACAGTAGTCATTGTCAGTTTTGGTCCTGACCACTAAGAGATACTAAGTACCCAAGCATTCGTTCAGTGTTAATGATGTAGAAAAGGTTTACAAGGGTTTTAATCTAATCTAACTATACCTAATAATGTACTTTATGGAACAAGGATTTGTGTTCCGTAAAAAACTATGCATATTGATGGCATTATATAGATTAATATTCATTCTCTTTAAAAGGTGGCAAGGTTTATAAGATGCTGTGTATACTACTTCATATCTTGTATCCTCTTCCATGGAATTATTGTTCTTTATGGAGCACCATTAATAGAGTAAGTCTCTTACAATCTCAACTGGTAAATCATAAAGCTAAATGTTTAGAAATCTGAACCACGATCACTCTGGATTTACAGTGTCTCATATGACCCTCTAATGGAAAAGGGTAATATGGATTTGCTTTTATATACTTGCATGATTTGTGTTTTTGGGATAATATTAAATATTAATAATGAAGACAAAAGTGATAGGGCCAATCTGTTTAGTGAATTTAGAGTTGAAGATAAAAAAGTCAAAGTAGCATGTAGTTTTGTTTTCCTGGCTTGAAGAATAAATAAAGATGAGTTTGCTGGTGAAGTAAAGAGGACACTAATCCTAAGGAAGAATGCATAGTTAAAGTTAGACAAGATAATGAAGAATAAGGTCATTTCAATGACAGCAAAGGTCAGAATAATTAAAACAATGGTCTTTTGAGTGGTAAAGTGTGAGAGTTTTACATTGAGAAAGCAAGAGAAAGAAGAAAAACACCTTCAAATTATGGATCATATGACATTTAGTAAGATTACCATGGACTGCACGTAGCAGCAACTAATCAATTCTGGCCCAAATAGGCTGACTTTATAATACAGGTGTGTGGTGCAAGGAAATGATGGGCTAGAAAAAAGAAGTATGTTTAGCAAGCTTGAGGGAAATCAAAGAAGTAGTGAACAGATAACATGGATAGATGTGATCAAAGAGATTACAGGAATGTCCTTGGAAGAGCTACTGGGTATTACTGGAAACAGGTCAAGATAGCAAGCATTTATCTATGCAGTCACCAGGAGTGTAACTTTATTCAGTAATACCTAACTATGATCTGTGGTAGATAAGCCAAAATTTTAAATATTTTTAAAGTTATATTTCTACACATACATAATTATTATTCATTACATTTAAATCTCACATTGCCTCAAGGAACTCAAGATAATTTATATTGGAGTCTCCCATAATTTTATCTCCAACAACAACCACCCTGAAAGTTGGGTTGCACTGTGAGAGGGTACTTGGCCCAGAGTCAGTCAGAAATTTGACTTCGGCTCCCTTGCTTCAAAATGAAGTATTGATAGCAATATTATTTTTTGTATGAACCTGGCTTATTTTAATATATTATTGCCAAGTTCTTACTGAAGTACTAAAATTGTACTTCAATTGCAGATGGCATTCTGTCTCAGGTTCTACAGATGATTTGAAGTTACTGTTACAAATCTGTCATAATCCATTATAGCATAACATTTCATTGGCAAAATATAGAAAGATCCTAGAGACTTCTTGAAGTTGGGTGTTCTTAACAAGTCGAACGAATGAATGAATGCATGCATGCATGCATGCATGCATATATAAGTGAAAACAGTTAAAGCACATGATGCCACAGGATGTATATTAAACCATAAAATATGTAAAGTGTATATATGCAGCATATTATCAAAGCTCTGAGCATTTATATGTCATTTTTAAGCCTGTTTTAGAGAGTTAAGGAAAACGTATTTTAATAGCTGGTGAGAAAACCAAACACAAATGTTATTGAGACCTGATCAAATGAAAACTAGGAAAGCCTAAGGGGAATTTAATCACACTAAATTCCACTTCTGAAGGTTGCTCTGTCTCAAAATGAGTAAATATACTAGCATTACAAGGAAGACTGGCATGACAGGGAGAACACTAGACATGATTTTTTCCCCCAAGCTTCCAGTTTTCTCTGTGTAATAATAATTTATTTATTTACTTGCTTACTTGGGGAGGGTGCATGGGGTTGCGTAAGTGGCCAGCACGATGCAAGCACAGAAGGGCTGGGGTAGACTTACCTACCCAGTGACTTGTGATCTTCCCTGCTGGCTTCCCCTTTGACTTTCTGGAGAAGCCGGCATGGAAGGTTGCAAATGGTGATCATGTGATCGTGGGGCATTTGGCAACCTTTGTAAGTGTGAACAAGTTGCCAAGCACCCAGATTGTGATCACGTGATTGTGGTGGTG